TGCGCAAACGCGTCACGGCTGCCATTTTGGAAAACAAAATGGCGGTCATGGTTCACGCAGTCGCATGGTGGCCAAAACGCATGGCAGTGGCAGCAGGGGTCCACCTGGGCCGGTAAGTGCAGGGACCTGGGCCGGAACCGGCCCGCAGGCCGTAGGTTGCCGGCTCTAGGCTAGATTTTCCTTTAAAAACCCCTGGATTCTTCCCCTCAGTGTCGCTAGTCTGAGTACAAGGGAACCTAATGTCACTCTTTTCTCTGATCTGATTACCAGCACCTCCATCCAACCCACACTTTCGATACGGTTGTGTCTCATACTCCTTCACCCAATTGGACTCCAGAAGAGGCTTCATCAGTAGTAAGTATAGCCGCAGCATTGCCTCGGCCTCTAACCCTTGATTTCCCTAAGCTCTGTAAGAGTGTGTGTGTGTGCATGCGTGCCTTCCTGTGTGATTTTTAATAAATAATAATTTAATTGGAGAATGCTGCCTCTGCATCAACTCTCAGATTCAGCAGACTCATGGTATACATGTGGGAGACAGTCTCGCAGGGTCCTTGTAGAGACCCCCCCCTCGATTTGCGCTAAATAAAATTCCCTGTAGACTTTTGGCTACAGTATGCAATGATGCATATTGATGGTGGGAGGAAAATTACCAAAAAAATTACCCAAGTGGGAAGCTCCTTGCTGTGCCATGCGGTCGGGCAGTGTACATTTGGACCTCCTTGGGAGTGGCTGGTGCAGTCAGCAGGCTTTTAACCCACTTTTAGAAAAAGCAGCTTTGAGCCACTTTTTTTTTGCCCACCTGCTTCATCCCTTAGTTGCAATATTGGAATCATAATGGCAGTGGAGTGGAGTGGATTTGGCTTATTGCTCCTCCCTTGGGGATTCCCTTGGAGATCTCCAGCAGAGAAACCCCAAACTATTTCTGATGGCTGGACTGAGAGAACACTGGGCTCCCCAAGAATTCTGAAGAGAACTGCCATATTTCATTCTCTGTTATTTTGTTTTTGGTTGTAGTTGTTTTTTTACATGATTTTATTTTTTAAAAAAAATAAGGAGAGTAGTGCAAGAGCTCAATTCAAACCACTACACAATGCTGGCTTAGTGCCCTCTATTAGCTACCAAAGTTAACAATAATTGATAGATATGTCTTTTACAAATTTGTTTAATCCATTTTAAATCCATCTGTGATGGTGGCCTTCACCACATCCTATGGCAATGAATTGCACAATTCAGTCATGTGCTGCATTTGCTTTTCATGTGCTGTGTGTGAGAAAGAGAAAGAGGGAATAACTTCACGCCATTAATTCTCAACAGAACATTCATAAGTTTTAAACATCTTTCCTTGCTGATTGCTTCAATACATTTTCAAACGGTAGCAGCATAAGCTCTCTGATATATAGAAACTCAAATGAAAACATGGATTTATTTCTTATGACATTCATATATGGAACACTTTCTCTGAGACAAATTAGTTTGTCTGACATTATTTTGAACGCCAGATTATGTTTATGTTGTTTATTTTGGTGTTCCTTAAATTATTTTAAGGCTGCTATTTTATCCTCTTTCATTTTCTTTCACCTTTTGTTGTTCTTAATTGTCATTTGGACCTTTGTCTATTGTGGTGTGGTCATTTTCATCATTCTGATGTCAGCTACCTGCATTTGTTTGACATTTGTGAGGTGGATACAAAGCTACACAAACGGCTACAAATTGCTCTTTGCTACATCAGGCTTCACCCCTGTGTCACATTCCACAGAGTTTCATAGGATTTCTCAACATTGCAAGAACAACTTTTCCATAAAAGAGAGTGCATTGTGGTAAAGAAGAAGATTCCTATTTGCATGTGTATGGATCAAAGAAATACATTAAAAACAAGCAGATATCTTAAGGTTACAAAGTTAGCCCAAATAGCCAAATTAACATTTGTTTTAAAGGATAAATCAATTGAAGATTTTCTGAAAGACTAGAAACCATTTGATTTTTTTTTAGCAATAAGAGATCTAACAGTTTAATAATCTGTCATGGTTTTTAGTAATTTTAGTAAGATTTTTAGCTGGATCTGTAATGGTGGAATATTTTTTCTATTTTTTCCTTTTCATTTTCATTAATGTCAGAATTGAGGTGAACAGAGTCCTCTTGAACAGATTAGTTGAACATCTTTTTGTTTTTGTTTTGTCTTTTTATTCTTTCTGCCTTTTATTTTATTTTTATTTCTAAAATGTATATTACTTTGATTGTAAATTAGATTGTTCATGTTAAAAATTAATAAAAAAATAAATATATATTTTAAAAAGCAAATATCATGCTTAGCAGTACATGAGCCATAACTTGCCCGAGTGGCAGGAAGTAAGGAATGTTTTTAAATGATCAGATTTCATATGATGCTTAAAGGAAGGATAAAACAGCTATAAATGGCTACTACTGGGGGGGTACTTTTCCTAAAGAAGAAGGAACAGTAGCAGAAGCAGCAGCCGCTCTCATCACAAGCCCATCTACATTTTTGACTTGTGCTAATTTTGCATTGACAAGCAGGACTCAGCTGACAGAAGCAAGTCCTGTCCTTCCCATTCTTAAACCTTGTTTCCTCATTTTCTTCCTCGTTTTGTTCTTCTTTCTCTCCATAGGAGTGTGCATCAGGTTGAAAGACACTTTGAAGGTTTCCGTAATAATAACAATAACAACAACAATAATAATTCCAGCTTTTATTTAATTGAAAGCAATTGTCATTAATAAATAGTTAGATTACTCAATGAGAGGAACTGACTAGATTACCAACTTTTAGTTTTCCCATTCCACTCTCCCCATGTATATGTGTGCATGATTACTTCTGTACTGGTTCAGCACATACCCCTCCCAGTTTGGGTCCAGTCTAGGGAATTAAATGTTTCCTGTTTGACATTTGTGTTAGTTATCTTTATATCCCTTTGCTTCTTCAATATGTTCAACACAGCATACATGGTTCTCCTTTCTCCATATTCATATTCAGTAAGACTACATGAATGCTTACCTTAAAAGCCAGCAGCCACATTAGGTGAAAGAGGTCTGTTCAGCTACTGATCAGGGTGCAAGAAGGATGATGTTTCCAGTTCTCTGTCACAATTCCTCTCACAGCCTTGTTCATTTTATGGGAGTGGGCTGGAAACATCCTCCTTATTGCACCCTGATTGGTAACTGAACAGCCCTCCTTTCCCCAATGTGGCTGCTGACTGTTAAGGTGGGCTTGATGGGTCAGGTCAGGAGGTGTTATGTAGGGCCAATGCAGATGGCCCCTAAGGGGTGGCTCTGTGCTTCCCCTGGGAGCACCAGAATGGGGCCATGGCAACCACATGTCATCACCCTGATCCGGCTTTTTGCCGCTCCCAAAAGAGTGGGCAAATGCTGCTCCTTTTTGGGGTGGCAAAAAGCCACCCTTAGAGCTGCCATTATGGCTTTTTTGTGCCCCTTTGGCCCAGCATGTGTGCACACTGCACCAATGGGACACCCTGACACTGCGTGCCATGTGGTTGGGTGCACAGCA